TCATTGATGCGTGCGCGCCTGCGCTTCTCCAGCAGCGGCTTCAGGGTCTGTGGGCGCGAGGTTGAGCGCAGCGGCTGCGGTTAGGTGGGTGGCGGTGCCGGATCCCTCCCGCCTCCAGTCCCCAATTCCTACCTTGCGCAGCTCTGCCGCATCCCCTGCCCGGCGAGGCAGTCCCATGCTCGGAGGAAAGTGGCGGTGGCTGCGGGTCCCGCGCGGGGGGGGGGAGACTTGGGTAGGCAGGAAGAGCCGAGACAGAGACCAAGACCGAAGTCCGGGGCGCGGCCCGGGCCCGCGCCAAAGAAGTGTGCTGCGCCTGCAGCCGGGTTTAAGTTGGCGGTGTCACCGCCCCGCCCCGCCACTCCCACCTCTCGCCTTTGTTCCTACTAAGGATAAGGTTAAAGGGGAACACAATGGTGCCCCCAGGGATGCCGCTCCCGGCCTTCCAACCCAGCTGCGGCAGGGGTCACGGAATCCGTGGGCGTTATTGGGCTCATAACAGCGCTGACCCGGTGGGCAGAAAGGGCGGGTGAAGCCAGGCTTGCCCTGGCTCTGGCTGTGGGCCCTCTCCAACGCCGCCCTTCTTCATTCACGCCCCGCAGGAGGACTCAGAGAGTTCTAGGAGCCGGGGCAGGGACCCAGAGGCTGCAGGCGTGCCAAGGTCAGGGTCTCAGGGAGAGCCCACGAAGATTACTAGGAGACACTCCTGCCACCAGCTGCTCTGAGCTGGGCGGGGAAACTGAGGCTCCGAGAGAGGTCGCGTCTTGTCGTGGCCCTAGGTGTTGGGAACGACCAAGTCAGGACTAGCGCGCGGGAGGTTAAACTCCTATAAACTCCTCCGCGGCTCGCGGATCAGCTCAGGGATCAGCTGGTTCCCCACCCTCGGTTTTGGATAGGGAATTTAAGCCTCAAAGGAGGCAACCCAGAAGCCCCTTGGAGCTCATTTTTATTTCACCAGGGCTCCAGATTCCCCACCCGCAGGAGCTCACGTGACTAGCAGGCGGAGCGTCCTAGGTGCCGGTTCTCGGCCGCCCTCCTCTGGGAGTGGGGGGGGCCAGCGGCGCGCCAGGGCACGCCTCCGCGACGCGTGGCCGTTGCTGCTGCAAACTGGCAGGCGTCCCCCGCCCATCTGCTACGGGCTCCCTTCCCCCATGGGCTGGCGGGGCAACGGCCACCCCTGCGGACCACAATGCAAACTGCGGGGCAGATTGTTGAATGCGCAGTTGGCAGAACCCACCAAGCCAAATCCAGGAGGAAGTGCGATGGGGCTAAGCCAAGGCAGGCTCTGTCCAGGGTGCTGGATGGACCCCTTCTTTCTCCAGCATAGCCCAACCCCCACTTCTAGCCCAGGTCCCTTTCCATAGTGTTCCTCCAACAGGGCAAAAGAAGACCAGCTACCCATCAGGAAGGGGACCCGAAGCAGCCTGGCCAAAAGGAGCCAGGGCCACCCACTCCTGTGTGTACCAAGCAGAGGACCTCTGGTCACAATCCAGGAGTACTTTCTGTGTGCTAAGCTCAGGGCCAAACTCTTTTTTCCCCTAACTTCCATGAATCCTCATAACAGTTCCAATTATGAGAATAAAGCATTCAATACATGTGTCCTAGCAAGGCTTGGGGGTGCCCTGTCCCTCACTCATGGTTGTTTAGATGCCTATGAGCCAGCCTCCTCTAAGGGAATTATTATTTAAGAGCTTTGCAGATCACTCCACTTACGCACCCCAGGCCATACACACTGATGGCCCACCCTGCACCAAAACCTGCATCGTTGAGGAGAGACCGATACTGAGGAGAAGGCAGTTCGTCCTGAGACACCCCCCTTCAGGCCTAGGAACACTATTTGAGGACAGGGGGCAGAGGAACACACTCTTTTGCAATGCCAGTTACTCCTGAATTTAAGTCTCTCCCTCACCACTCCCCCATGACTATAAAGGACTTTGGCCAGGTCACTCACAGTTTGCTTCAACCACAGGATTGTGGGGTCTTGTTGCTTATTGGAAGGAGTCCTTTAGAACTGGAGCAACTTAGGTGCGACAGCTGGGTGGACAGGATATAGGGTGCAGGCTTTAGGTGAGCTAGGGCCTCCTACAGGGCCATGGGGACAGAATCCATCCTGGTCTCCACTCCTGGGAAGTACATTGACCCGTGGGTGGGAGAGAGGCCTGAACTTAGCCTGAACAGTTTTTTCCCACCCACCAGCTGGGCCCTGTCACTCTCTGGATGGGGCCTGTGGTCACTGGGATCTGGGATCTCTTCCCAGCAGTTTCTGGATACCTGACAGCCTCACTACTGTCTGTCACGGTATGGCAGACATGGCATGTCTGTCTCAGATTCCATCAGAGAGATGAAAGGAGAGAGTCCTCAAGTTGACACTTAGAAGGTGGGAGGCAATGGGGTGCTCTGGCCAGAGAACTTCAAGTACCAAGGGAAGAAGAGCACAGCCAGGTCAGTGGAGAGTGTGCTTTGCCATTTCCCAGATTTTTGCAGGGGGGGGATTGAACTCAGGGAACCTTGACCACTGAGCCATATCCCCAGCCCTATTTTGTATTTTATTTAGAGACACAGCCTCACAGAGTTGCTTAGTGCCTCGCCATTGCTGAGGCTGGCTTTTTAAAAAAATATTTATTTATTTATGTATTTTCTTTTTTAGTTTTAGGTGGACACATTATTTTTTTTTTTTTAATGTGGTGCTGAGGATCGTACCCAGCGCCCTATGCATGCTAGGCAAGCGCTTCACCACTGAGCCACAACTCCAGCCCCCTGAGGCTGGCTTTGAACTTATATCCTCCTGTCTCAGCCTCCAGAGCCACTGGGATTACAGGTGTGTGCCACTGTGCCTGGCCTCCCAGATGCATCATCTTAGGAGAGATGACTTAAAACAAAACAAGCTCCTGGTGCCTCATTTTCCTCTGCTCTGAGATCAGGATAACAGCTATACTTCCTTCAGCCTCCCTGTGTGAATTAATATCCAGGTGAAGCTTGGAACAAACCTGATAAGTGGCAAGAGTTCCATGCATGTGTCATGTCTTGAGGGGCCTCTTTGGTGTTGCTAGAAAGGACCCAGCAGGCTCAGTGGATGTGGGGGCCCCAGAGAGGACAAAAAGGCCTGGCAGAAAGGGCCAGGCTCCCAGTCTGAGTGTATGCTGTGTCCTCAGGGAATCTGAGAAACAGGTTAACGGGGGTGGGTGCTCATGCCTGGCATTTGTATAGATGTCACTATCAGAGTGGGAGGGGCCAAGGGGATCTGCCCTATTCAGAGGGATGGTAGCAGTGCATGTAAGAGATGAGGTGTCCATGGCTGGAGGAGGGCACCTTGGGGGTGGAGGACATGAATTGCAGGGATTTGTACTCATCAAGGAGTCACAGCGGAACATAACTCAAGAAAGGCAATTTAGTCCCTCGCTCGGGCTACTTGCTGGCTGAGGGGCACTGCCTCTCTGGGCATGCTGGAGGAGGGCAGTCCGAAGGCAGCGAGTGCATTGCTCTCGCCATAACAGACATAGTAGTGAGGCTGTCAGGAATCCGCTGGGAAGAGGTCCCAGATCCCAAGGACCACAGGCCCCATCCAGAGAGTGAGAGGGTCCAGCTGGGTTGAAGTCGTTGGAAACCCACCTGGCCAGGGCACAGTGGCTCTGGTTTTAGGTCACCAGCGAGCTGCTGAAAGCCACCACGCCTGGCGCCATCAGGTGGCGGCCCCAGAGAATGGTATTGGAGGCAGCCGCAGAGATCAGAACGAAGACTTCAAGTGTTCCTGGAAGCAGCTTCATTCTACAGCTTATCCAGAGCCGCCTTGTGCCGGCAGGTGCCAGGCGCTGGGTGAAAGTCAGCAGCGGACAGGGGCTGGGCTCTCATGGGTCTCCGATGGGGGTGAGGTGAGGTGGGATGAGAAAGGAAGGGCACAGGCTGTATCAAGGTCGCTCGATATGCTTATTGCGCTTCTTACAGCTACGCAGCCCCCACTTTCTGGCATTTCTGCTCGGGTCCAGAGGTCCTTGCCTCCTCCAGCTCCCACAACCGGTTTCTAGCCACGCCCGCAGGGTTTGGTGCACATGCGCTCCGCCGCCCGCCCTCGGGCGCCTTCCTGCGTCCTAGCGCGGGGTCACGGCATCTTCCTTCTGGATGACGGCGCTGGTGCGTCTCCCGCTGGCCCCAGCCCTCACGCCCCCACTTTCTCTTCTAGCTTGGCAGCCCCAGGCCTTCAAGCCCAGGGTCGACAGCGGCCCTGGGAGATCTGAATCTGCGGTGTCCAGACCCACAGTTCTGAGCTCACTGGCCCCGCCTGTCCTTTCCTCCTTCTCTCCCTCCCAGAGGACCTGAGGGCAGTGCGTAGGTCTGAAGGCAGAGCCCTCGAGGGCTTGGTGGGCCTGTTCCTACTTCAGGGCCTTTGTCCTTTCAGACCTCTCCCCTCCACCGGGAATGGATGTCCCTTTTCATCCCCCTAAACCTAGACACCTCCTTCAGATGGATCTTTCTCTGGCCGCTCAAGTCGCCCCGACAAATCACTTCCTATTACCCCCTTTTGCCTGTTCTAATGACACGTGTCATCCCCTGGAACTGCAATCGTCGCTGGCTTGTGTCTCCAGAGCCCACATAGTGGCCAAGTGGGCAGATGAATGACTTCCTCTGTGCCTGGACGGCTCTCGAATTCTAGCCCAGTTTTGCGGTCTTTTGGGGCCTCAGTTTTTACGTGAGGCAAATTAGGAAAGAAGCCCTGAATGCACCTGTCCCTGTCACCGGAGTGGTCCCCGCGGGCGGGGGACTCTGGGCAGCGGAGGCGGGGCGAAAAGGGGGCGGGGCGGGGGCGGGCCCGTGGCTTAAGCTGGGCGCCCGCGGGGTCCCCGCCCCAGAGTCAGCCGAGGCGGAGCGGAGCATTAAGCGGTGCAGATCCAGGGCCAAGCAGACAGCCGCTCCGCCTTCCGGGTCCGCACAGCCCCGACGGCCCAGCCACGCGCATGGCACCCCGGGAAACGCACTGAGCGCGGGGTCGCGGCGCCGCGGGTGGCACAATGGCCCTGGAGCAGGCACTGCAGGCGGCGCGGCAGGGAGATTTGGATGTGCTGAGGTCCCTGCATGCAGCCAACCTGCTGGGGCCCTCCCTGCGCGACCCCCTGGACGCCCTGCCTGTGCACCACGCGGCCCGCGCGGGCAAGCTGCACTGTCTGCGCTTCTTGGTGGAGGAGGCAGCCCTGCCCGCTGCGGCCCGCGCACGAAACGGCGCCACACCGGCCCACGACGCCGCAGCTACCGGCCACCTCGCCTGCCTGCAGTGGCTGCTCTCGCAGGGCGGCTGCAGGGTGCAGGTGGGTCCGCTGCTCCCCAAGCGGCTTGGGGATTCCTCCCCAGAGAGGGTTTCCTCCCAGCCCCGCTGGCGAGAGGGTAGGTGGGATTGGGTCCTCCTGGCTTAGCTGAACTCTCCTTCCAAAGRGCTGTGGATGGGGTGGTCTTCAGGGATTGAGTCCCTGGGCAGATGCCCTAGCAAGCCCTGGCCCCCTCCCTGGAGGAGCAGTGGGTAGTATTGGAGAAACCGAGGAGAATTGGGCTCAGTGGGCCGGCGTTGCATGGGAGAGACACAGCACTGATCCTGGAGTCCTGGGGGTGGGGCAAAGGGCTTGGATGGCAGAACCAGAAGCCCATGCCCTCCAGGATCCGATCTGGAGGTGGGGATGGGCAAACTCCCACAGCTCACTTGACGCTGAGATGCAGAAGTCCCTAAGCCAGGGTGTGGGGCTAGGGTGATGGGACATGAGAATGGGGTCTCCACAGGACATCAGCACTTTCAGGCCTTCCAGCTCTAAGTTACTTCTCAGCTCCCTCTGGGTCTTCGTGTCCCTAGGCCCCAACTGGTCACTTTGAGGAGTGACCTCCCAGGGGAGTCCTGGCTGATGAGAAGAAGCTAGCCAGGTGAGGATCAGGGAGTTGTGAGCATAGGGACAGGAAGTACCAAGCTCTCAGGTGGACACGTCCTTCTGCTGGAGAACAGCAAGGAGGGAGCGTGTGGAGTGGGCTGCAGAGGGGACAGGCCACCAGGGCCAGGCCAGAGGGTCTCTGGGCTGAGGTGAAGAATTTGGATGATGTTCTGGTTGTGGGGGCAGCCAGTGGTGGGAGGGGCAGAATTGATTTTCCACTTATGAAGAACACTGGCTTAACTTCGGAAGTGGGGCCTCCTCTAAGCTGGTTTGTTGTGCCCTAAGGAAGGCCAAACCCAGCCTAGTCTCACGTCCTCAGAGGGCAAGGCCCCCCATCCCATCCTTCCTGGGAGGTGGAGCAGCCCCTTATCTCCTGGCTGGCCCTGCTATCGAGGGTTCCTGGCCATGTGGCCTATGCCCACTCTTTTGGGAGGTGCCTGCCTCCCTGATCCTGGTGTGCAGGCTTGGCTGGAAGCCTTCCTCTCCTCCCTGATCCCAGTGTCCAGCTTGGCCGGAAGCCTCCCTTACCACTGCAGAGGAGGTGGAAGGAGTGAGTGGCCTTGTGCCCAGTTTATCAAGTCTCCTGCCCTCCATCCCCAACACACTTGAGTGCTAGGGGTGGAAGTGGGAGGAGGGGATGACCTCGATCCCTGGTTCTGCCCATCCCACAAGATAAGCAGCTTAGGGTGTGGGCCACAGCACAGGAGAGGCCTGAGGCCTGAGGCCTGGACAGCTCGTGGCACTCTCTGTACTGAGTCTGTACTGCCATTGCCACCCGGAAACCCTGAGCCATCAGGACCCCCTGGAGCGCCAGACCTTTAGTTCCCAGGGCCAGTGAAGAGGGCCAGCCCTTCTCAAGATCTGATATCAGGACGTCTTTCACCATGGTCCTACTTGGGCCACCTCTAGCCAGCCCTGTCCTGTGAACTCAGGGGACAGACTGAACCAGTCTCCTCACACCCACAGCATACGAGAGGGGCCTCAGCATCTTCCTCAGCTTCCTGTGGGCCATTTATTCTCTGCCCCCACAATCCTCGTCACCTCCTTAATGGGACAGCCAATCTGTTCCTCTCGTCCCATGACTTGGCAGTGCCCAGTGCTCCCCAGTCCCCTTGTCCTCCTTTCCTTTCAGGAGCCTCAGAGGTCCTCTTCCCATCGAGATTTACCTTCACCAAGGTCTCTGGCCAATTCCTCCTACCTTAGCCACATCTGTCCTTGCCCTTGTCATGGGCAAGGAGGGATGAGAGGCCTCACTTTCCTGATCCTAGTGGACTGCATCCACTAGGATATCTCACTGCTGCCCCAACCCTTCCCTGCCCTGCCTGTTGTCCCAGGTGCCTGGTGTGTTGATTCTAGAGTGGTGCCCAGTTTTTCACATGTGTCAGCCTCTGAGTCCAGACGCTCGAGTTCTTGCCTGGGTGCTGTGAGCAGCCCCTTCCCCCAACAGACACACAGTGGATGTGTAGTATGGATGTTCTCGGCCCAGAGGTTCTGGGGCTCCTGTGGGGGTCTTGCCCAGCCCCTCCTAGGGAYCACCATAGCCCACATATACACTGCTGGCTGACTGCTCCATGGGACCAAGAACACAGCCTGTTCCCATGGCCCAGCCCAGAAGAGTCTGGGGTCAGTTCCTGTACTGAGGTTGGGCCGTCAGAGGTATGCCAAAGTGGAGGCATCCATCCTGTGAAAGATTTGGGAAGCAGGGAGAAGGAGAGGGCGAGAGGGGATGCAGCGTGCTCCCCCCAATCCCAGTGCCATCCTGACACAGCCCAACATCCCCCCCTTCCTGGCCCTGCCTCAGCCAAGCAACACACTTGCTCATTCAGGCGTTCGGTTGTGTCAGGGCTTTGGCCTGGGCCTGAAGCCAGGACTCCTGCTGTCACTCCCTCCCGGGTGCCGTGTCCCGGGAGCTGTGTGGGGGTGTCACCGTGGCATCCTGCAGGCCTCTGAAGACCACAGTGCTATGGTCAAAGCAGGCCACTCAGTTTCCCAAAGACAGAAGCAGGATTCCAACTTTTGGGATCAGCTCTATCCCAAAAAACCTGTTGAGGGAGGCCTGACCACAGCGCAAGGGAGGACAGAGAGGACAGGACTGCCCCCCAGGCCAGGGGGAGGCTGGCAGTGGCCCAAGCCCGTGGCAGGGGCAGATCCAGGCCAGAGAACTTGAACCACCTCTCCTCCCACAGGACAAAGACAATTCTGGTGCCACGGTCCTGCATCTGGCTGCCCGCTTCGGCCACCCTGAGGTGGTGAACTGGCTGCTGCGTTACGGCGGTGGGGAACCCACCATGGCCACAGACACGGGCGCCTTGCCTGTCCACTATGCCGCCGCCAAAGGAGACTTCCCCTCCCTGAGGCTTCTTGTCGGGCACTACCCTGAGTAAGGACCCCAACCCTTTTTAATTTTTTTGGTGCTGGGGATGGAACCCAGGGCCTTGCACATGCCAGGCAAGTGCTCTGCCACGGAGCTGCATCCCCAGGCCAGGTCCTCCCTCTGCCAYGCCGCTCATCTTCTCTGGGTGTGATGGCTTCCTTGGCCATCTCATCTGCAAAGCCTGTCCCCCTTAGCCGCAGCAGCAACTGGACTTGGGAAGCTGGGCGTGCAACCCGTGGTCACCTGCCTGTGTTCATTTAGCGGACGGTTGGAAAGGGGGAGGGGAAGGCAGGAGCACCTCCTGGACCCTCATCAGTCAGGCGGAGGGGCCTGGCCAGTACTCAGGCAGTTAGGGAAGCCGCCCTCCTGGCCCCGGAGCCCAGGCCAAGTTATCCAGAGAGCACGTGCATTCCTGTGGCCCCTCACCCGTTCCCACTGCCAGGGGGACAAGGCTCCCAAACTCCCAGGGTCCCTGGATTGAGTCTGAGAAAGCAGCTGGGTGGTAAGCCGGGGTGGGGTGGGGTGGGGTGGGGGCATGTGGAAGAAAGGGGGGCCCTGCAGAGCCAGAGTCACATGAGGAGCTGGGTGAGGGCAGGAACCAGTTCTCAGGTGCGCCCGAAGGTAGGGGTCCTGGGGAAAGCCACAGGCCCTTCTGGGGGAGCAGGACACCAATGGGATGGCGCCAGAGTGGTGATTCTGGCCAGTGACTTTTCTCTCCTGGTGGGTGCCTGCTCCAGGAGCCAAAAAGTGGCCCCAACCTCAGGAGGGGAACACCTATGAGGTAAAAGGGTCTGGCCCATTCATGAGGGTGCCTTCAGGGCCACTGGCCACCAGGGAGCAGGCCAGAGGCCAGCTTAGCCATGTGACAACACAACAAGGTATCTGTAGCTGGCAGCCTGTTGGGCCCAGGCATACTGACATGGATGTAGTCCCCCCACCCAGGACAGGAAGGCTGAGCCTGGTTTCATCGTCCTAGGCGAGGACTTCTTGTCTGGTGAGTGGGAGACCCAGCAGGATCTGCCTGGGATGGGCGTTCTCCTCGCAGACATTTGGTGACCACTCTGTGTCAGGTTCGGGTCAGGTCAAAGTCCGTGGAATTTAGAGTAAGAGGGCCCCCGAGACCCTTGAGTGCAGGGTATCCCTGTGTCATTCACAGGTTTTGGCCCAGACTCCGGTTAGACACTCCAGGTTGGGGCTCTGGGGAGCCACACCTGTGACATGATGCCCCCACCTCCACAGTTACGGTTCTGATGCTTCAAGCAGATGACACTAAGGTCCCAAGGAGGAAGGTCACGCAGCAAGGAAGTGCTTCTGCCCCTGCCAGCCTGCCCAGTACACCTGAGGTGCCCAGAGGGCCAGGCTGATCCTGGGGCCACCAGAACCTAGCAGTGTGAATTGAGAGGGCTCCAAGCCTGTCCCTGCAAGTACTGATGAGACCTGCTGTCCCCGGGCCCTCTGGGGGCTGGATCCCAGGCGCTGGGGAGACTGGCTGAGCCATGGAATACTCTTGTGGGCTTCAGGTCTTGAGGACCCTGATCCCCTCCCAAACCATGCCAGATCTGGGCATGACCGGGCTGTGGTGCCCAGCTCTGTAGCCAGATGCCTTGGGCTGATGAGCTGCCAGCACCCCCAGGAGTCACCATGAATCTCAGGGAGGTGGACAGAGGGCTTGGGCTCTGTTCCCTGCAGTGGTGTGTGACCTGGCTGATAAGGAGGTGCTTTTGTGTGGTTGCCAGGCTGGGCTCAGGCCRGAGGGGATGGCTGGCGATTGGGACTGGGGGTTGGTATACCCACGTAGGCTCCCGTCTTGGGGCTGGAGACTGTTGCTCCCCAGGGCTGTGCATACGAGGGCTGGGGAAGGCAGAAGCTGGGTGACCCTGACCACAGGCCCAGTTGAGGAGCCAGGCAGCCCGGAWCTGAAGGCTGTGACTCTCTGCTCTCCTGAGCCTCCTGGGCCTGCTGTGAAGGCCTTTGAATTATTCACGAGGGCTCAGCTCTCTTCCTGGGCCCATGAGCCTGTGAGGGAGGAAGGACACCCCGAACTAGCAGTGGAAATTTGATACTACGCAGGGAGGCCGTGGGCAGCTCTGGGCTGCGATGGTGACAAGGTGCAGGGGAGGGCTGGACAGCCTGTGGGAGGCCTGCTAACGCCTGAGATGGCAGAAAGGGCTTGAGTCTCTGGGAACATCCTGCACCGACCACTCTTCCTCTAATCTATCCCAGTTCATTGAGCCGGATCTTACCAGAGGCAGAGAGCTGGCCATGGTGACCTCAGGGGTGGGCTGCTGAGCTCCCGCTGAAAAGGAGCCCTGAACCGGGGCCGGGCAGAGCTGACTAGAGCTGTCCCAGGCCCTGGGTCTCAGCTGGAGAGGGCTACTGACCCTCCTGGACAGGAACATGAGTGGCCAGTGAGGGGATGAGGTGTCTCGATCCCCAGCTGGGGCTGCCTGGGAAGGGCAGGGAGCAGGTAGACCCCTGACCCCCAGGAACCACCCACTGTGCCTCCACCATGTCTGCTTCTGACATCCCTGGGGACCGACCAGTCAGAGAGAGGCTCCGGGCTCAGCCCAGAGCTTTGGAGAGAGGAGGGGGCTCCAGGTTCTCCCCATGGGGGCCCCTACCTGTCATGGTAAACTGAAGATCACTGGCCCACAGACTCTCTACTCCAGCTCCTTCCCTCAGCCCTCCCCCAGACCTGAAGCTGCACAGGGATTAGAAAGTGTTTCAGGGTAAACCGGAAACTGCTCCTGCCTGCCCAGTGCCTCCCGGGGCCTGGCACCAGGTGGTGTTCTCTGAGCCTCTCACCCACTCTAGACAGTAGCTCCGTCATCAGTTCATTTTATAGACTCACTCACTCAAACTCATTCAAATAATATTCATTTATTTATTTTGGATACTGAGGATTGAACCCAAGGGTGTTCTCCTCCTGAGCTACATCCCCAGCCCTTTTCTATTTTTTGTTTTATTTTATTTTTATTTTGTGAACCTCCTATCTCAGATTACCAAGTTTCTGGGATTATAGGCATGTGCCATCACACCCAGTTTTGACTAATGTTTATTGAGCATCTGCTATGTGCTGGGCAATATTCTAAGTGCCAGAGATACATTAGTGAACCAGGCAGATGTCTCTGCTTCGTGGAGCTGGTCGACATAGACATGGTGCCTCCAAGAGGCTTATTGACCAACTGCAGGCACCACTGGTTTGCTGTGTGACCTTGGGCAAACTGCATCCCCCACTCCTGGTCCAGGTCCTAATCTCTCAGTGTTCCAAGTTTGCCAAGTACTTCCCTTGGTTCCTTCTTTAGTAAAATACCTCAGGGAGGGCTGGGGTTGTGGCTCAGTGGCAGAGCACTTGCCTCGCACATGTGAGGCACTGTGTTCGATCCTCAGCAGCACATAAAAATAAATAAACAAAATAAATACATGTATCCATCTCTAACTAAAAAAATATTAAAAAACAAAATGAGAAAAAAAAAAAAAAAAAAACCTCATGGAGCCTGGCTGCTCACAGCTTCAGGCAGCCCCTGACGGGATGGGTAGAAAGGGGCTTCATGAAAGGGGCTTCCCCAGGGACTCACCTCTTAGGGAGCCCCAGGGCCCGTGGCTCAGCCCTCCCTTTGTGAAGCCCGGAGCTTTTGCCTGGGCTGGGGTAGCCCCTTACCTGCTGGGCACCCGTTTCTGCCTCAGGCAGCAAGGACTCACTCATTCTTAATTACCACTCCCAGGCCTACTCTTGGTATTTGTGGAGGTCACCTGGGCAGCAGGGCCTGGGGCAGGGCTTGTGCTACCTGGTCCCAACTGGGAAAGGCAGCAGCCAGCCTTGCCCCTGACCCAGGTGGAGGCTCTGAGAAAGGAGGGCCAGGTGGGATCTGGGAAGCCCCCGAAGTGAGGCTTCTGTCTCCACCCACAGCTCCTGGTCCTGGCCTGTCACCTAACTGTGGTCCACCAGCCGCCCTCTGACTGGTCTCCCCACCTTGATCCTGGCCCTGCCAGCCCAGCTCCATCTGTAGCCTTTGACGGTGCGGAGAGGCCACTAGGCAATGGACAGGCTCCTGGCTCGCCGACGGTGAAGGCCACCCCTTACAGTGGCCCCRGGGGCCCTCCCACCTGGCCCTGCTCCCTCTCACCTCAACCCTCCTCCCCATAACTCACCCGTGCTCCTCCCCAGCCACACTGCCCCTCCTGGGGGCTGGCACCCTGCAGCTGCGTGGGTGGGGCCCTCTCCTGAACCTCTCCAGAGAGCCCCTGCCTGCTGGGTCCCCCTTCAGGTCTTCACTGGGTGGCCACCTTCTCAGCCAGGCCAGCCCTGGGCCTGCTCACAGGGTAACCCGCCCCCACAACACGCTCGTGGCCTGGCTCTTTTCCCCTGCGGCCCTGATCAGGAGCTGGCATTGTGTGCCACCTGCTCTGTGTGTTCCTCTGTTTGTCCCCTTAACAGGCAGTGAGCGCTTGTTGGATGGAGGAGTCTGGGGCCATCAGAGTAAGGTCGCCCCTCTGACCTTACATGAAACTCCCTTTCTGAGCCTCCACGTGCCCATCTGGCCAGGCACTGTCTGTCCTACCAGGCTGAGCCCTAGTGAGCGGGCATCATGCAGCTCCTTCCTGCTCGAAGACACACTTATTTTTTCCAACAACTAGCCTGAGCCCTCTAACCTTCCAGCCCGCCTGCACCGGTGGCTTTTGAGAAGCAGAGGACAGAGTCGGGAGCAGGCAGCCCGTTTGGATGTGCGTTCTGGCTGCTCCTGGGTGCTGGTCTGCCAGCCACTGCCCCAGGAGGACAGAGCTCCAAGAGGCCAAGGGCTCTGCCGCTTTCACGGCTCTGCCTGTCCAGCAGGTAGAGCCCTGGAATCTGCGTCTACAGAAAGAACACGATAAAGTAAAGAAATTGGGAGGAAATTCTCTAGGTTGAGGGGGTTGGGAAGGCCTTTCCGAGGAGCTGGGAGTGGACACTGAGTTGGAAGCAGTCAGCCATGCCAAGCTCTGCCCTGAGGGTGTAGCCACAGCCCTGGCACAGAGGGCGGAGGCAGGGTCTGGCTAAATGGCAGGTCAGAAGGAAGGTCTGGAAGGCTGGAAGAGTTGCAGGGATGTGCTGGCCTCTGGAACTATTCCAAGCTTGTCGGGGATTAGGGTGTCAATGGACTGTTCTAGAACCTTCCTCAAAACAGGGCTGTGCTTCTTCCCTGAACCGAGCCTGATTTAGGCTCTTTTGCTCTAAGCAGGGGGTGTGATGCAATGTAGAGCCCAGAAGGCTGCCTGACTCTTCAGATCAGCTCCAGCCACAACAAGATCCGGTCCTTGGGGTGCCAGCCGCTTTCTGACCTCTCTCAGGGCAGGAGTCTTAAGCAGCTGGGAGGGCCACTGGACATTTTGCTCTTTGACCTGAGTCTGAATCCGTGGGGGRACTGATCACTCCTTGTTCCCTGGGCCAGCATAAACAGTAAGCTGGCACAAATTTGGACAGAGAATTCCAACAGACCCTTACAAGCATTCTACATTTCTTTTGTGCAGTCAGAGGGTGGCTTGCTTAATAGTTACAGTTTGTCCAGATCATCTTTTTCCCCTAAGCGAAAAGAAAAGCATGGTTTATGTGATCACGACCAGGACGCTTCCAACCTATGAAAAGGGTTTGGCTCAGGGTCTTTGAAGACTCCAGAGTTGGAGATCAAGAAGGAGGGTGGAGCCTGATGTGATGGCCATGCCTATAATCCCAGTGACTTGGGAGGCTGAGGCAGAAGGATTGCAAGTTCAAGGCCAACCTCAGAGATTTAGCAAGATGCTGTTTCAAATATTTAAAAAAGGTTGGGTGAGACTGGGAACAGTTCAATTCCCTGAGTTCGATTCCCAGTAGGAGAAGGAGAAAGAGGAGGAGGAGGGGAAGAGGGAGAAGAAGGAGAAGATGAAGAGAAAAAAGAAATGATGTCTAACCTAAGCTGTGCTTGGCCTGGACACCCCATGACAGCTGTGAGTGCCCTTGGTGGCTGGTCCTCCTGGTATGAGGAGGCACATAGTGGCTACCACTTCACGGATGGGGTTTGGAAGGCAAAAGAAGGGATACTGTGGCACAGCTTGTGGGGGATAGGACTCACACTAGGCCCTGGGCCTTCCTGTGGAGTCCCCCTCATGTCCAGTCCCACTCAGAGCTGAGCTCACTGGCAGGGAGGCTCCTGAATGCCCAGCAGTGAGCTCTGCAGAGAAGGACAGTTGTTTATGCACAAAGAGGGAGACAGACAGAGAGGACGGCTGTGGACACTGCACAGCTGGAGTCCCCCCCTCCAGCTCTCTGACCTCGTGGGCCAGGCTCACAAGGCTGGCTCTGCCTGCTCCACCTCAAGTGATGGTAGCTCTCTAGGGCTCCTTTCCTGGTCCTGGTCGGTAGAAGGAGACTGATGCTCCCGGCCATGAACGCATGGGGAGGACTAGATAAGAGAATGGGYGCATCTCAGTGCTCGGAACAAGTGRTCATTCAATAAATAGTAGCTGCTGTCACTATTATTAACCATTTTTTTATTACTACTGGTATTCATGATTCTTTCCAAGTGGGAGTTCTCTTTTGTTCCTTATGCTTACCCATATTTTTGTAATTCTCCCCAGTGAGTGGGAGGGAGCCCATATTTCTCTTGCCTCCAGGTCAAGCAGGAAGAGAACTAGGCTAGTCCTCTAGGCACCCCTGTGGCCCATCAAGCATATGTGCCCTATGTCCCGGGGTCTCCTGGGCAGGAGGTTCTGACTGCACCATAGAGATCATGGCTGAAATACTACTAATAATGGGGGCAGCCTCCAGTCTTTATTAGACTGTCAGGACTCTGTTGGGAGTGGCAACTAGTAGGCACCACTGCCCCCTGCTGTCCATCTCCCTCTCAGACTGGCTGGGCCCCCTGGCGTGATGGCTACCTGCCACAGGGGGTGTTGGGAGGGCAGAGCTCAACACAGATCTGGTCCCCTTCGTCATTTACACTGCCTTGTGCTGCCCCCTGTCCCAGAGAGGGCCCCAGGCCCCGAGACCCCAGCACTTGCCATGCCTTGGTTACAGGGTGAATAATTCAGGCTGCTGAGTGTCAGTCATGAAATATTCAACAGGCTGTTCCTGGCACACCAGCATGCGTATGTGTGGGGGCAATGCCGGCCCTGGGGCGTGGAGGCCAGGGCAGCGGGCCAGCATGTTTCTGAGGAGAGGTGCATGGCTGGGCCTCTGGCTTGCCCTGTGCTGATTGGCAGGACCCTCTCTGCTCTCGACAGGGGGCGGGGTACAGAAGGACAGCCAGGCACAGCGCCTCCTCCCCTCAACTTATAAAGCACCAGGCTCTGCTTTGGCCCCAGTATTAGCAGATCTGTGTCAGGGAAGCGGGGTTCCCAGGCCAGAGAGTGGTGCCCAGTGCAGGCTGCAGATGACCTGGGGACTCCAGGGACAGAGAACAAGAAGTCTACTGGGAGGCATGTGTGAGAGACAGCAGAGTGCACACATGGYTCGGTCACGCTGAGGTGACAGGAAGGTGGGTGAATGAGCAGATAGAGGAGGAGGGAATGGCTTAGGGCATGAGCTGATGGACAGATGGACAGGCGACTGGATGAGAGGCTTGGGGGGTGTGGGTTGTGCATGTGATCGCCACTGTGGGTGTGTAGATACGGAGGGCAGTTGAGGGTAAGGATGTGAAGAAATGTGTTCCTAGGGCGCCAAGGTCTAATCAGAGCCCGGCAGGATAGAGCCCCTATCTTGAGCTTCTAGACTTGTAGAGAACCAGGGGGATCTGGGAGTAGATTGTGGCTCCACCTAGTGTCCCATTGYGGTAACTGCACTCTGAACTGACTTCACCCATCCATCAGCCTAGTGGCCAGGCCAGCTTCTGTGTTCCCTAGCAGCACCTCACCAGTGGGGCTGGCTCACTGTTCCCCAGTTAGGACAATGAGCTAGGTGGAGAAGCAAGGATGAAGGGCAGTGACAGCTGAAAGGTAAGCTGTAGTGGAAGCACCTGGGACATAGGGCCCCTCCCCCACTCTGTCTTTTCAGTACCTGCAAACTTACTGCAGGGGAGGCCCTGCATCCCAGACAGATATGTGTTCCCATGCCACTTAYCAGCTGAGTGGCCTGTGGCAACACATGGACCAAGCCTCAGTTGCCTTTCTGCAAAATGGGAATGACAGTGGGACTTAAGATGAACCTTCCTAGCTAAGCATGGTGGTGCACAACTGTAATCCCAGTTACTTGGGAGCATCAGACAGAGGGATTCCAAGTTCAAGGCCATCTTGGGCAATTTGATTAGCCCCTGTCTCAAAATTTGTAATAATAATAATAATAATGACTGGGAATGTAACTCAGTAGTAGAGCACTCCTGGGCTTAATCCTCAGTACTGAAAAAAAAAAAGAAAGAAAGAAAGAAAGGAAGGAAGGAAGGAAGGAAGGAAGGAAGGAGAACCACCACCACCACCTTGGTGCAACTCAAAACCCAGGATGTCAATGAACTTCAAATTTGAGATAAATATTTTTTGGTATAAGTATGTTCCATGCAATATCTGGGATATGCTAACACATTATTGATATTTATCTGAAATTCAGATTTAAGTGGCATCCTGTGTTTCATCTGGCAACGCTAACCCTCCCTGACCTCCAGGAACTCCCTCCTCTGGGTTAGAACTAGGCCAGAAGCCGTTATGGCTAACCAAGCATGACAGGCCATCCACGGAGCTGCCCCAGGGTAGGAGGGGTCCAGAGCAATGTAGGACATTGGTAAAGGTGGGACTGTTCCCTAAGAGCAAGATGTGCTGTCAGATACTTTATAAAAACCAGGCTGCTGTGGGTGGGACCACAGCCAAGGGGACCGGGAGGCTGCTGAGGGACCTAGTCCAACCCACTCTCCCGGTCCTCCGGGGCTCCCAGGATTGAGGCAAGGACAACCGCAGGCACTGAGAGACCATGGTGGGTGTTGCATATTCGCAGGGGAGTGAATGCCCAAACCAAGAATGGTGCCACGCCCCTGTACCTGGCGTGCCAGGAGGGCCACCTGGAGGTGACGCAGTACCTGGTGCAGGAGTGCGGCGCGGACCCGCACGCGCGCGCCCACGATGGCATGACCCCACTGCACGCAGCAGCACAGATGGGCCACAGCTCGGTCATCGTGTGGCTGGTGAGCTGGTCACAGGAAGGGAGGGGGCCTGGGAATGGGCACGGGGCGGTGGCCCAGCCAGGAGGGGCCTGGTGCCCAGTCCCCGCCCTTTTCTCCGCCCCTCTCTCCAGGTGAGCTGCACCGACGTGAGCCTGTCGGAGCAGGACAAAGACGGCGCCACAGCCATGCACTTCGCCGCAAGCCGCGGCCACGCCAAAGTGCTCAGCTGGCTCCTGCTGCACGGCGGCGAGATCTCGGCCGACCTGTGGGGCGGGACCCCGCTGCACGACGCCGCAGAGAACGGCGAGCTGGAGGTCAGGGCGGCCCGAGAGGGGCGGGGCCTAGGGGCGGGCGGGGCCCGGGGCGGGGCCCKGGCGGGGCGCGCGCCCTCTGCTGGCGCCGCGCTCTCAGCACAGCCCCGCCCGGGCGCGGGGCGCCCGTCGCCTCCAGGTGCTCACCCCATGCCCCCGCAGTGCTGCCAGATCCTGGTAGTGAACGGCGCGGAGCTGGACGTCCGCGACCGTGACGGGTACACGGCCGCCGACCTGTCGGACTACAATGGCCACAGCCACTGCACCCGCTACCTGCGCACCGTGGAGAACCTGGTATGACCCGGGTACAGCCTTCGTTGTCATCTCATCCCGCCTCCCACCCCAGGGGTAGARGTCTTACCCCTTCTACCAAGGAGGGAGCTGAAGTTCAGGGACGTGCATCCCCTTGCCCAAGGTGACACAAGGAGTACATGTCCTTGACCACTGTCAGACCTACCTCTCAGCCCAGATCCACTGCCCACTGGGGAGCAAGGCACAGTGAGGTGCAAGAGGTCAAGGGAAGGGAGACAGGGAGGACCAGAGTCATTCTGACAAGAGATAAGGCTAGGAGAGATCAGAAGACTCCAACCAGGGRCCAGCCAAGTTCATTCACCCACCCACATTATCAGCTCATTTAACTGACAGCCACCCTCTGAGGTAGGTAATGCTAGTGAATCCATGTCACAGGTGAGTAAACTGAATCTCCTGGAGACCCAAGGTCATGCAGACAGTAAGTGGTGGAGGACCACTCTTTCTTGACCACAATACCACATGCTGGTGCATTCCTAGTTAATTCATAACCGGACACTTATGTGACTCTTGTAAATTATTTTATTATGGTTGCTCAGCCATGAARTAACCCACTGGGGCCTGGACTCAGGTGTGGATGTCACCAAGTCTAGGGCCCTGCCCATCTGCTTTCTTGGAGAAATGAGGTAGGAAGAGGGTGGACCTCACTGACATCTGCAGAAATAAGCTGATAGTTCCAGAAGACAGCCAGGCCATGATTGGGGCTTTCAAAAGAAGCCCAGAGGAGAGACAGTGGATGGTCCCTGGACTGACTACCCCAGTCCTGGGGTCTGCAAAGAGTAGCAAGGCCCAGGATCAGAGACTGCAGGTAGACTAGAGGATGAATTCCCCCCTGGAAAGGAACTTGCAAAGAGTGTGGGTGGCCCTGCAGCTAGTGAGTACCCTGTCACTGGGGCCTACAAGCAGGGGTAGACACTRTCATGGGCCATTCTGCCCCAAAGGTGAGTTCCTTCCACCTGAGAGAATCTGTCTCTGTTGTGGGGCTGTGGGCGCAGCAGCAGAGCCCAGGACCTTCCAGGACCCTCCAGTACCTCCTGAGAGTTTGCTCCACTGCTAGCAATAATTTATTGAATTTATTGAATTTTGACTCTGGCGGGCTGAGTGCTTGGCAGGTGTCAAGTTCATCTTATAGTAACTGTTGGCACATAAGACATTCTCTAGATATCATGCCATGCATGGCACTTAACTTTTAAAGTCTTTTTTGGCCACCCACTGGGCAAGGAACATTGTACTTACCCATTTACAGATGAAGAAACAGGCACAGAAAAGACAAGTGAGTGTCCAAGGTTGYGAGGCTAATAAGTGGAGGGGGGTAATTTAAAGCCATTTTCTCAGGCTGCAAAGCCTGAGTCCCAGCCTTTTGTGTCTGTAGCCCATGGGGGTCAGGACCAGGTGCCCTTGGTGCCCACTAGTGTCAGCCAAGAAAAGGGTACCTTCAGGCCGTCCCCCAAAGCCATTATCCTGGGCTCCCCTTTGGCTCTTAGGATAGTGAGCAGAGGCTGAACCTCCTGAATGTGCGTGGGTGGGCAGGAGGGCCTGACACTCTCACCGAGGCAGGTCCAGCTACAGCAGTGACAGATACAAGCCACCAAGGATGCTGGCCCAGAAAAGGCAAACACTCCCAAAGAGCCCCTAATTACAGGGCCAATGAGCGTGGCTGCMGAGCTGTTACCTGGTACCAGGCTGCCTCCCTTTCCCAGGGGGCCTGTGACACTTCTCAGGCAGGGAGGGGGCATGGGGCAGGGAGGAGTAGGTCTGGGCAGGAGACAGCAGAGAGAGCAGGCTTGCCGGCAGCAGGACAGCATGGGCAATGTAAGCAGGGCCCCCAGCCCGATCCCAGCCTGTGGTCAGAGGCACAGAGAGGGAGGGGGACAGGCTTGGGAGCCTGAGCAGGGGCTGCCCATCCCAGCCCAGCTGGGCCACCAGGCCCCACCCTTCCCCCCCCCCCAGAACCCCATCAGGAGACTGGCTGGGTTGGTGCTGGGAGCTGACAGGTTGGGAAAGGAGAAACGGGGGTTTTCAGCAGGTAAGAGGGGACGGCTCTCCCTGTACCCCACCCCAAACCCCCTCCTGAAGAAACACAGAGCCCAGGCCCTCTGCTGGTTGATAAGGGAAGGCTGGTGCATGACCGTCTCCCTGGGGTGCAGCCCAGGGCCCCTTCCCTTTGTGGCTTCTAGCCTCCTGAGCAGGGAGGGGCCAGGATGGGAGTATCTCTGGAACCCGAGGTCCTGCTAGGGGGCTGGACTTGAATCTTAGCCTCAGAAGAACCCAAGACCCTTTTGCAATGGGGAAAGGATCTCAGAGAGGGAAGTGACTTGACTGAAGTCACACAGCAAGGGCATGCCTGAATGGGACCTGGCCCAGAAAGCGCAGGTCTGTGGAGGAGGCTTGCCCTCACAGCCCTCCTGCCTTCTCCTCAGAGTGTGGAGCATCGAGTACTGTCCCAGGATTCGTCCACTGAGCTGGAGGCAAAGCAGCCTGACTCGGGCATGTCCTCACCCAACACCACCATGTCAGTCCAGCCACAGAACTTTGACCTCAGCTCGCCTGCCAGCACCCTCTCCAACTATGACTCCTGCTCTTCCAGCCACTCCAGCATCAAGGGCCAGCGCCCTCCTCCTCGTGGTGAGTGGGCTGGAGGGAGAGGGAGGAGGGAAAGCACACTGCCTAGGGCATCCTGCCCGTGGTCCACCACAAGCGGCCCTTCCCCTAGAGGGGACGCCCAGGGTCCTGTGTGCCCACCACACAACCACATGTACATCCACATGTATTCCCCCCAAAACTCACATGCGCCTCTCCCATGGTTCATTGTTCTTGCCTACCCACACTCAAAAGTCACATCTGTATGTCTGTAAACACAGTATACACATACATAGGAATGCTCAGGCACACAAGCAGAGTCGTGTGCACCTTACAGGTCTGCGTGCACTTACACAAGGACTCACACCTGGGTTTTCACTGGAGAGACACACGCACACAGTGTCTACAGACCAACACAGACACATTCACAAATGCAAAGAGTTGTGTGCACAAATGTGAAAGGCTCAAACATACACAATTGCACAAACCCTGGGCAAAGCCAGACATGGGTCTACACACTGACCACACCCTGAGTGTGAACGTGGTCCACCTACAGTGCCTGTTGCCTGTCGCCAGGTGGTGGACTGCAGAGCTGACTAGGTGCCCCTAAGGTTGGGTGTGGCCATTCAGACTCCTGCCACCTGCTCTGCCAGGTCTTCCCTGAAGAGCTGCCTCTCCCCTGTCCAGGTGGCCCTGTCCTGCAGGCACACCTGGAGCCCAAAGCCCCCTGCTGCTTCCCCTCCAAACCTGAGCACATTGTCCTCCAACCTTAGTGCAGGGCTGGGGAGCAGGAACCATCCAGCACTGCCAGAGGCCACAGTGAGCCTCATCGAATAGCACCCAGAGACTGCTTTGGTGCTAGAAACTAGTGGTTTCTAGGTGGTGGGGAGTCTGGCAAGTTCTGGGGGACAGCCTCTCTGCAAACTCCCATACCCGGCCTTCCCTGCTGCCTCCACAGGACTTTCCAGCGCAAGAGCCGCAGACATACAGAACTATATGGATATGCTGAACCCAGAGCTGGGCCTGTCTCAGGGCAAGATGGGGAGATCTGTACCCCCGCCACCGCCCCCCAGCTTCCCTCCACCGCCCCCACCCCCAGGCACCCAGCTGCCCCCACCTCCACCGGGCTACCCAGCCCCCAACCCCCCTGTGGGGCTCCATGCCGCTGACATCTACATGCAGACCAAGAACAAGCTCCGCCACGTGGAGACAGAGCCACTCAAGAAGGAGGTAGTGAGCCCTCCCCCTGCCTGCCTCCCAGGAGTGGGACTGGCCTGGCTAGTAGACACAGGTGGGGTCCCTGGGTCCAGGGCATGTTCAAGAGTCAAAGCTCCTGATCAGTTCCATGAGGGCTCAGGGCTGCACTGGGCACAGGGAGGTGAATTAGACAAACACATCGCCCTCCATGCCAAGTTGGGGTGAAAACATCTGGCCCCAGATGGCTGTGCCTCACCAGGAGCTGGGTCTATGCTGCCTCTTGCATGGAGTGGCAGGTTTTCCCTGAGTTGACAGAGAACGTGTGCAGATTGCCCTCCACTAACATGCCCATGCCCACAGCCATGGGCTCAGGTGAAGAATGGAACCCTAGATGTCTTCCAGGTGGGAGATGCCATGTCGTAGCTTGAGGGTGAGGGCCAGGAGGAAGGAGTGTCAGGTGAGTGAACACCAGCAGGAACCAGCACCCGCTGTCCGMTGTCCGAGTGGCCAAGAAGCTGAGGTTGGCTCCTGCTGAGGTTTGAGCTTCTGTACTTTGGAGGAGCCAGTGCTGAGGTGGGCACCCTGGGGGGAGAAGCAAGCACCGTGATCTTAGGAGGGTGGTGTGAGGGAGGACACAGTGATTGTGAGTGGTCCAGGTCACCAGGGACTACAGGGAAGCGGTCAGAGGTCCTGTCTGGGCAGCTCTGGGACTTGGGCAGAGAGGTTGAGGGGGCCCAGCTGGTCTGAGAGGTGGAAAAACAAAAACAAAAACATGAGACCACAGGTGGCCAGGTGTATGGTGGCAGCCCCCCAGGGTCCTGTCAGAGCCTAGACTTTGCAGTTCCCTCCCCAGCCTAAGGCAGGCCACTCCAGGATGAAGCTGAATAATCAGTTTGCACTGGTGGAACAGGTCACAAGGCCACTGTCACAGAAGCATGGGAGGGACATTGAGCTCCACAAGAACTCCAACTGCCACCCCCTTCATGCCACCCCAGACCAAGCTCTAAAATCAGATTCCCCTTTCATCTCTGGAGGGAGCTCTAGTAGGCTCTGCTGGGGCTGCAAGTGGCCTGGGCCCAGTCAACTTTCACAGCCTGGGCTGGCATGTGAGCCCTGCCCAAAGCCTGGGACAGGTGGTCTGACCAGCACCCAGTCCCCATGCCTGAGCCAAGGGCCAGGACTGTGCCTTCCCACACCCCTCTGGGGTGTGTKCGTGCTGAGCTGCAGGAGTTGGGTCTGCTCCACAAAGAGACCTTTGTGTGCCTGCTGCGCCCTGCACGGGTGCCTGAGCTGCGGGAGAGAGCAGGGTCGTGCCTCTGGGGCTGCAGGGGGTGTGGAGGGGGCTGGCTGGCCCAGAAAACAAATCTAGCGTGTCGCGTTTCCTGCAACGTGAGCCTGGACGGGCGGGGTGCAGAGGGTCCAGGCCACCTCGAGGACGCACAGGGAGGATAGGGCCCAGGGCAGCCCCCACCACCTCGGGTCCTTCTCCCGGAGCTGGGCTTAGCTGGGGGCATCCGCAATGGGGCGGCAGGCTGAGTTGTCACCTGAGCCCGCCTTGCTGCCCCTGAAACCCGAGACTTGTGCGTGGGTGTTGGTGTAGTTTACGAGGATGGCGATGGTTTCCAGATGCAGGAGGGAAAGGAGGGGACGCGACCTGGAACCCAGGAGCCAAATGAGACCGCCAGCGGTCAGACCCTCATCCTGTCTCTGGCAAATGAGAGGGGCCTGAAGGTCGGGGTGCCAGGCCCATGTTCAGGGAGAAAGGTCCAGGGGGCGGGGCCACACCTGGCCGGTGAGACCGGTGCAGCATACCCGCCAGGTGTGGAGGAGCAGTTGGGCTTCGGTGGCATCCCTGACTGCTGGGGGGGTTCGGCCTGGGATTGGCGGGTCGTAGGTGATGTCAGGCCGACAGAGCCCATAGGCCAGCCGCGACCGGGCKGGCGCGGGCCGGGCTGTAACCTGAGAGGAAGGATCAGGTAACGCAGGTGTCGGATCCTTGCTGCCCCCGCCGCCAGGTGCACAGCGGGGGCCACCGGCACAGTCGCAGGTAGGAACAAACTCGGAGCCTGTCGGCCGGGAACCCTGGGCAAGCAGGAATCTAACAGGGCACCGGCTCTGGGCAGGGCTCCCTAGGGGCCGAAACCCCCCTAGGACGCGCGGTTGGCTGTAGGGTGCGGCCCGGGCCTCAGGGCCACTAAGCTGAGAGCTGCTCTCCCTTCTCCGGCTCCCCCTGGCGTCAGGGCTGGGCCACCCCGCCCCTGGACCCGCCCCTTCTGGCCTCAGTGGGGGCCTCTGTGCCCTTGGCCTCCGCCCAGAACCCCTCCCTGTAGGGCCGGTCCAGGCTTCCCTTCCACCGAGGCCCCCTTGACCCTAGCCCCRTGTTGCCCTGAGAACAGGGGGATCTCGCGACTCGGCGGCTGCACCACTCGACGGCTGCTGGCCCTGAGCCCGGGAGAGAAGAGCTGGGGAAGGGGGCGTTGCGGGGTGTTGGGGACAAGTGGTCAAAGCCCATCGGTCTTCCCGCAGCCGAGCTCCCGCGACCACCACAACGGGCTGCGGAGGCAGGACTCCGGCCGCAAGTCCCGGACCTTCATCAAGCAGCCCAGCACGGGGGACTACTACCGCCAGCTGGGCCGCTGCACCGGGGAGCCGCTGGCAGCACGCCCGGGCATGGCGCACAGCGAGGAGGTGCGTGCCCTCCAGCCCGCACCCGCCGGCCGCCCCGGATCCGGCCCTGCAGCCCGCGCCTCACTAGCCAGCCCCTCCGCTCCCCCGCAGGCGGCTCTGCTCCCGGGGAACCACGTGCAAAACGGCTGCACCGCGGACTCTAAGCCGTCCAGGGAGCTGCCGCCACCGCCGCCGCCACCGCCGCCGCCCCTGCCTGAGGCCCAGAGCTCGCTGCCGCCTGCCCCACCTCTGCCCTTGGAGGGCGCGGGCTCCGGCTGCGGGCAGCGCCGCTCCTCGTCGTCCACCGGCAGTGAGTCGGGGAGGGTTGCGGGTGGGGGCGGCGCCAGCCCCAGAGGGGGAGGGAGATCTAGACACCGCCCCCTCCCCAGTGCGCCCGCGGGTCCGCCCTCGGTCCTCCCGCTTCTTCCCGAGGGCCCCCACCCCACTGAAGATYTGACCCAAAGCAAGGGCTCTGAGTCACCTTCCCTCCTGCCAGAGCGGGGCTGGGGGTGTGGCCTCAGGCGGGTCCCCTCTCCTCTCCAGACCTCCTCCCTTCCTCCAAGGAAGTCTCTCAGCCCTGTGGCTGGTGTTTCTGATGAACCCGTTTTACGGGTAGCGAGGAGTGGACTAGTTTCAGGAGGCAGGACTGCTCACAGGCGTTCTTCCTGCCCCTGTCCCTCCTCAGTTCCCCTCCACCTCTCCTCTGGTTCTTCCAAACTAGCGCAGACTTGAGTCCTGTCACCTACCCCAGGAATTCTTCCTGGTCAGATTCCTCCGCGGCCCTGGCCCCTCATGTTTTCCCCTTCTCCCTCTGGCTCTCCCCCTGGGCAGCGTGTGTGGGTAAGCACACGCTCTACCATGAGCTACAAGGGCTCCTGGGCATCCTTTATTAAGAACTACTGGTGACCAGGATTCCTATCCTCTCTTCTGTAGGATGGGGCACTGCTCTGCCTGACAGGCTTCCTGGAAGGTGCCCCCAACCCAGACCAGCAGGTTGGCTTCCTCACCCAGTTACTCACTCAGTGCAGGGACCACGTTCAGTGGCCCCATCCTAAGCTTCATCTCTGACTAGGAGTGTGGTTCATATGGAGCCCCAGTCCACACAGCGTGGGCCATGGGAGCATGTCACTACTGGCTGAGCCTCCAGAATGTCCCCAGCCCACCCTACTTCTGCAATCAGCTCCTCCGTTCTTCTGCATCCTGCAGCAAGGACAAGGAGAAATGGGGACAGGGGTGTAGCTCAGCGGTAGAGCTCTTGCCTGGCATGTGTGAGGCACTGGGTTTGACTCTGCACCACATATAAATAAATAAATATTTTTAAAAAAGAAGAAGAAATAGACTTTGGGCTGCCCCCGACACCCCTCCTATCAGAGCCTGGGCTGGGTGCCCTAACCCAAGCGAATGCCAAGGCGGAGGCCTTGTGAACAGACCAGGGCCAGTGGTGACCCTGTGCAGCACTCAGGGAACTGGACATACCACCCTTATGGGGCCCCAGAGTGGACTGAGCCAGGGTCACAGGACAGGAAAGCTCCTCCTCTCTTCTCGTCCCTCCTGCCCTCCCTGGTCCTCTTGCTGTCCCCATCTTACCCTGGCCCCCTCTCCCTCCTAACTTTGCTGTCACTTCTCTTCTCTCGGTTCCTAGAAGTGAGAGTCCTGAGGCACAGGAAGAGTGAGTAGCTGCGCGCGGTTCCTGGCTGAGGCTGAGGCGAGGGTGGGGAGAAGGCTCACCAAGGAGAAACCAGACAGAACGGGCTGGGACTTGAGGAAAGGGCAGACCAGGGGCCAGTAGGCAAGGGGGGACCTCAATGTCACAGAGGGGCTCTTGCACCCCACACCAACCCTCATACCCCCACCACACCCACATATGTGCCCAATCATTCTGTGCCTGGCTGACAGTTTTGCAAAAAAAGAAAAAAAAAAAAAAAGCAGACTGTATGCTCGTCTCTCTTTTCCTCTCCTTGTGATGCACTCTGGGATCCCCATCCCAGGCAGCCGAGAGCTTCTGGCCTGTTTTGTTCACCTCCACCCCTAGATCTGACCCCTTCCTCAGGGTTCCAAAATCCCCGCTCACCTCCACCAGCCACTCACTGTTGAATGCAAACTCTGCCYGAGCATTTGCATGCCATCTGCCTGGCCCTTCTTCCTCAGTGCCCTCTCCCATGTCCTTAGTAAGCACTCCCTTCCAGGGTCCCCGGGAGCTGAGTAGTGTATTGCCATAAGTGTGCTTCCCGCTTGAGTCAGTGTATCTGCTCATCTGTGGGTGTGGGGACAGGGAGGGTGATCTGGCTAGGTGCCAGTACTCCAGGGTCCTGAGTCCTTAAGGCTGTGGAAGCCCCAGCTGACTCAGTCCAAAGGTCACTGGGCTTTGCTGATGCAGGGAGAGGGCTGGAGAGAGACTCCGCCCTGGTGGGGCTGAGCCAGGGAGCCTGGGACAAAGGTCGGGTGGCCGGCCCCAGGTAGTGTTTTGGAGCTGACCGGCAGTGGCTGGGCCCCAGGGCCAGTCCAACAGCCACCATGAACTCCCAGGGGCCTCCAGGCGGGGCCTCTACGCCCCGTGAGTAGGGCCGGGAGAATGGTGGGGCCACCATGGGCTGGGAGCTGAGGGCCCACTTCTGGGTGCCCTGAAAGCTGCTTGAGGTACCCTGGGATCTAGAGGGCTACCTCTGGCCCCAGGGAGGGCCCCACCTGTCCTGGTTTGGGATGGGGGCTGCAAAGAGAAAGGTGGAGGATGGTGGGGTCACAATCCTGCCCCCAATCAGTGATTCTCCTCCTGTGGGCAGGCACCAAGTCTTTCAACATGATGTCCCCAACGGGTGACAACTCAGAGCTACTGGCTGAGATCAAGGCAGGCAAGAGCCTGAAGCCAACACCGCAGAGCAAGGGGCTGACCACAGTGTTCTCAGGCAGCCGGCAGCCAGCAACCCAGGTAGGAGACTGACAGGTGCCCCTGCCCTGGCTCCCCTTGCCTGCCCAACACTCAGCCCCACTGCTTCTTCTTGCAGCCTGACACACAGGTGCCACCTGTGTCACCTGCCCCATCTCGGGCCCGGAGCCCCACTCCACCAGCCGTRGGGCCTCAGCCACTGCTCAATGGCAGCATAGTGCCCGCACCACCCGCCACCCCTGCGCCAGGTGTGCAGCTCAATGTGGAAACGCTCGTCCCCATACACGACGAGCAGGGCCGGCCCATCCCTGAGTGGAAGCGCCAAGTGATGGTGCGCAAGCTGATGGTGAAGATGCAGGAGGAGGAGGAGCAGAAGCGGAAGGTGGGTGGGGCAGGGTTCCCCAGAAAGCCTTGGGGTCTGCGTTCAGCCTACAGTCCATCCCCTGTGCCACCTCTCCACCTGAAGGGGCCCTTCAGCCTCAGACAGTGCCCAATGCCTTTAGAGGAAAATGAGGTTGCAGAACCCCCCAGAACTGGTCCCAGTCTCTCTGCCCCAGCAGCTTGTTCTTAGAAGAAAGATGGCAATGTTTACCAAGCTCTCCTGTGCCCTCCAATCACCTGGGACCTTGATATTCTGTTTCAGGTCATCTTGGGGGTGCTGAGATTCTGCATTTGTAACAAGCAACTAGGTATGGCTGATGATGACACTGTCCAAGGACCACACTGTGTGGTCTAGAGGGCTTTGGTCCCAGCCAAACTGACTTGGGCTCTGCTCAGCCCTGCCACTGTCCAGCTGCTGGCACTTAGTTTTGTCCAGTCTCAGTATGACATCTGTGAGATGGGCTAATTAACACTAGCTGATGATTACCATCATTCATGAAGCAAATGTTCCCTGAGTGCCATCTACATGGCACACACACATGAAATCTGGGAATTTGTGGTGAATATACCAAGGCCTGCTTCCAAGGGAAGTGTGTGTGTGTGTGTGTGTGTGTGTGTGTGTGTGTGCATAACAACAAGCAAATAAATGTCCCCAAGGAGACAAAACAGATGATGTGATAGAGTAACAACTGGGGATACAAAGCAGTGATCACATCTGGCACTGTGAGGCCTGGCCAGCTACCTGGAAGAGAATGGGCATTTTCCTGGAGCAGTGGGGAGCCTGGGGCTGGTGAGGCTGGCAGCTGCATCGTCATCCCTGTATGTGGGAAACTACAGTGGGTCAGGACGGATCAGGAGGCCTGTGGGGAGGTAAGGTCAGCCCCCAGCATGGAAAAGCTGGCCACAGAGAGCTGATCAAGAGGTAGAGGAAAGTGAGGGATAAATGAGAAGCATCCCAAATATTGTGTTAGTCCAGTGGGGTGCAGGAGCTACAAGGGCTCACAGTGGGAGTCACAGTGGGAGCTGCAGTAGAATGGTGTGGTCTCTCATTCAGCATGTAAAACTTTTCTACCCGGATAGAGAGAGCATGGGACACAGGAGAGCCTGAGAAGCATCAGTGGGCTAGCATGAGAGGCTTCTCTGGAATCTGGCTTGAAACTAGGGTTTGGATGGGGTTGTGAAGGGCCTCCTTGCCTCTCAGCTTCAAGGCCTTTCGCATGTTCCTTGAGTGGTGTAATGAGCAGCCAAGCCAGGCATGGAGATCCTCTCTGGYGGCCTGCCCTCCCTGCCTTGCAACAGCGACCAGCGACCAGGTGTGCCCCCACCATCAACCAAAGTGGACACTGTCCARAGCCAGGAGCCGAAGCCTTTACGCAGTGTAATAGCCCGCCAGCTAGGCGTGGCCCATCCCTGCAAATGCAACCCGGCGAAGCCATTACACCACCCAGGACAGGCAAAAGGTTCCGCTGCGGGAGCTGGGCCAGAGGGAGACGCGCCTCCCTCCCCTCTCTTGTCTTCCCCGCCTTAGCTGACTTCTGCCAGCTCCTGCTGCTACCCCCCGGAGGGCTGGAGGTACTCCCAGGAGCACAACGCCATCCTTGGGCCCTTCGGAGAGCTCATGACTGAGGACGACATCCTCCGCATTGAGCAGCAAATCGAGAACCTGCAGGTACTACACAAGGCTCAGAAGCTGGAAGCCCGCCTAGAACAGCTGGAGCTGGAGCTGGAGCAACTGCTGCCCATCTCAGCCGCCCTCTCGGCTCCACGCTTCACCATTGACCCCCGTCGCATGCACGGCCGCGCCGCCAGCCTGCCTGCTTGGTGCAGCAAGATCTCCACGCTGCTCAAGAGCATGGCCACGCTACTGGCTGCACTGGGCGGAAGGCCCGCACACCTGGCGGAGCTGCTGACAGCCGAGACTGGCCAGCCGCTGGAGCCGCTGCCTGATGCACCCTCAGGACCAGGGCCGCTTTGCTTGGGCCGCTCGCATTCTCTCAGCTGGTGCCGGGAGGCCGTGGCGCGCGAGATCCTCGAGTGCGGCGTTTCGGTGCAGCAACTCCGAGCCACCTATGAGCTGCGTGCCCAGGGCGCGGCGTCCACCAGCTGCCAGCACCACAAGTTCCCGCAGCCGGCCAGCACCCCAGACCGTGAGCCCATCCTAGAGGAGGACTACGTGGCTGCCGGCTCCAAAGAGCAGAGCGCTGCGGTGGCAAACGGACTACTGGACTCTGAAGAGCCCTTGGGTACCTTGGGCCTGCCTGAGGTGCAGGACCCCCAGGTGGCACTGCCAGAGCCCGAGCAGATGGCGCACAGGCCTCCACTCTCCGCTGAGCTGCCCGGCGTCCAGGACTACATCGACATGCGCAAAGAGCGCATCGTCTACCTTTTCCTGGAGCATTGGCGCAAGTGGACCTTCCGGGGCCCTGGGCGCCACACCCAGGTGCGTCTGCGCAAACTTCTGCCTCRCATTGTGGCAGCAGGCGCCGGTACTGTCCCAGATGAAGAGGGAGCCTCCCCGCCCCCGGAGGGCGACAATGAGGCCTAYGGTCAGGATAAGCGGTTGCGGCACTTGCTGAAGCAGAGGCAAGTGGTGGGCAAGTTGCTGGGTCACTGGCGGAGTCTGCTACAGCAAGTACCCGCACGGCAACCACGTGGCCCAGGCCTGGCGCATGGCCTGTACTGGCCCCAGCACTTCCTGCCACCCCTGGACGGTGGCGCCCCTCGACACTACGACAGCCTCACGCTGGACCTCTTCATGCTTGGCTACTTCCAGCTGCTAGAGATGGGCCTCAGCCGCGAGGAGCGCAAGTTCCGCCACTTGCTGTGTTATGAGATGTTCGACCGGCTGGGCAGCCACCCGTGGGAGCTCATCCGCCTCTTCCACCGCGTTGTGATTGAGGAGGTGGAGGCCGGCAGGCGCTGCTGGAGCGACGGCTTCGAGGACCTCAGGTGCCAGTTCTTTGGAGACAGCCCAGAGGCTGAGCCGGCCAGGGAAGAAGAGAAGGGAAAAGAGGAAGAGAAAGAAAAAGAGGAGGAGAAGGAGCCCCCCGAAGAGGCTGTGCCAGCTGACATGGAGGACCTGACAGAGGAGCAGCCAGAGGCCCCTGCCTCAGCACCACAGCCCCTTCCTGCCACCCATCCCCCCAACTCAGACCCATCTTGTCTCCCAGCCCCTGCTGAGGACCCTTTGGAGTTGGTGTCTGARATGGGCGAGTTCAGCAATGAGGACATCTGTCGCTACATAGACCGTAGCTTCTCTTTCTGGAAAGAGAAGGAGGCAGAGATGTTTGACATCTGAGCAGTGAGTTCAGAATTTACTCTTGAGCGTCTTAACATGGGTCTGGATACCTGCATGATGCCCTCCAGAAGCCAGAAGCCAGCAGGGGCTGGAAGAATCCAGGACCAGTGAAAAGCTGCTTGCTCAGGACCAGGCTGCCTCAGCCTTCAAGGTCCCCTCCGGACAGGATATGGGGCATTTGCCTGTATATGCAAGGCATGGCACTTGGCAAAGCTGGGTGTTCCCTCTAGCCCCATTGCTGAGCTCTGTGGGGAGCCAGGTAGCAGAATCAGTCCCTCAGAGAGTGAGGGATCATGGCCCTATCTTGGGGCACTGTGGCTGTGTCTCTGGCTTTTCAATGGGTTTGCAGCTACCTCCTTGGCCACCTGTGGCGTTCTGTGTGATGTGTGATGTGTACAGACTCTCCTCTGTGACATCCAAGGAATAAAGCCCTTTGCTGTAAGCTGCCTGTGTTGGATGCCCCTCACATACAGTGTCATTGCAGCCCCACAATTGTGGAGCAGGTGTCCACTCCTTTGGGAAAAGGGCAAGCATGAGCCATAAGGTACCTCACAGGGGAACCAGGGACACTCTGAGTCCCTGAGCTAGCCAGGTGGTAGTGGTTGGTGGGGGGGAGTCTTCTGTACAGAGATTCTGGATGATGGACCTGGTACAATGCATCTACCTGCCCCCATGGTAAATCAGGCTCAGGCCTCTGGGGCCCAGCTATCCGTTCTCCATCTCAACTCTGATCTCTCTGGCACCACCTTTAGTTCTCTGGCCTGGGTTGTGGTGGGGGGTGGAGGGCATGTGGAGAATGGGGCAAGAAGGTGCCCTCTGAGGAGACTATCAGGCACCTTCATTCATTTATCTCTTAGATGGGCATCAAAARCATCTCTTCCTGTGACCACATCTGTGTTCTGTTGTCCCTGGATCCCTTCAGGTGCCCTGGGTTGGGGGTGCACCCCGCACCCTGTCTTTCCCAGCCACACTGATCCTGAAGCTTTATGGTTGTTTCAGGAGGAGGAGGAGGAGGCCCGGCTGGCCAGCCTGCCTGCCTGGAGGCGAGACCTCCTTCGGAAGAAGATGGAAGAGGAGAGGTGAGCTGGGGGTCAGGAGGAGGCTGACCTGGCTGTATGTCTTGACTGTCCTCTTCAGGTGGCAGAATCAACTAACAGTGTCTCTTTCTCCTTCCAGGGCGCAGAAGCGGTAAGTGCAGGGCTGGCCTGGACCTGACACCCTTTCCACCCAATTACAGTAACTTAGTCTTTTGCCCCTTCATCCAACACATATGCTGTCACTCAGTTCTTGTAGCCTGACTACTCTGCTTCTAATAACGCCACTGGACCCCTTTCTCCCAGTAACTGCTCACCTGTCCCCCAAAGTCTAGCTCTCATGCTCTGATAACCTTGTTCYGAAATGAGCCAGTGCCCATCTTCCACTAACCCAGCCTTTCTACCCTACAGTTAGCCCAACCCCATGATCAATACCTTGATCATCTGCCCCAAGTAATCTAGCCCAGTGCTCCATTAGACATACAATTTGAACTCTACATGTAATTAAAATATTTCTAGTGCCCACATTGAGAAAATAAAAAGGCACAGGTGAAATTCATTTTAATAAAATTTAACCCAAAACATCAAAAAATATGTCAACATACAATCAATATGTCATTAATGAAGCGTTTTACACTCCCACTCATGCTTAGGGCCTAGCCTGTCAACAGAACAGATTACCCTTATGTTCTGTGTGTCTGTGGTACTGGAGAAGCACTACCACTGAGCCACTGAGCTACATCCCCAGTCCCCTACCCCCCGTGCTCTAATAACCTATTCCTAATTCCCCAGCCTCTGCCTCTCAGGAATGGGGTGTCTAGATGCCCAGCCCCAACCTGCAATGATTCACATTGACAGCTCTGGACAGCCGAGGTCCTGGCCCCAGTCCTCTCCCCTTTAAACCCTGTAACTCCCCTCTTCACACAGTGCCACTCCTGACCCATCACCTTCCTTTTCAGTAACACCGCAGCCCATACTAACCCAACCACAGCCTCCCACTCATCCAGCTTCTCTGTGGCCCAATTACCCCATCTGCCCCCAGTCCAGTCCCTGTCCTTCATAGCCCACTCTTCCCACGCCCATCCTGGTGYCTGGTTCGCCCTAGTTTCTGGCCCCAGGCTTCACTGCGTTCTGCCCTCACCCCATCTGCAGAAAAGAGGAGGAACGGCAAAAGCAGGAGGAGATTCAGCGGGAGAAAGAGCAGTCGGAGAAGCTGCGGACGCTGGGCTACGATGAGAGCAAGCTGGCGCCCTGGCAGCGACAGGTCATCCTGAAGAAGGGGGACATCCCTAAGTAATACTTCGCGGCCCCTTGCCCACAGCCTCCAGAGCTCCAAGAGGTGGGGGTCCCCCAGTCCCCGCCCTACTTGGCCTGACGGTGCGGAAGGTCTGGGAGCCGCGCGGCCCTCCTCTTCCGCGCCAGAATCCTCCCTAACCCCCTTCCCTGGTCCCGCATCCCCAGCCCCGCCAACGCTGGAGCGCGCGCCGCCACAGTCGCCGGGAAAAAGTGCCCAAGCTGCTGACGCAAAAAGATGCTGCTTCTTTGCATGCCGACTTACATATATTTGCATGTTCGTTGAATGTCAACGTGTGCAGAGCTCTCCCCAGCCCCGTGGGTGGCGACTGTTTTCCTGCGGGGCGCGCGCTCAGATGCAGCCCCCTCCCCCGCACCCCGGAACCTGGGTCGCTGGCGCATCCTGGGCGGAGGCAGGCCCCGAGCTCGGGGAAGGGGTTTTCCTCCCTCCTCGACCCAGATCTGCACCCGGCCCAGGCCGCATTTCTCATCACCCCCGAGGGTTTCCTCTCAGTCATTTGTTTACCAGAAACCGGTGAAAACTGCCTGTTGGGGCAGAGCTGGGGGCGGAGTTGCTGCTTCCCGGGGCCCCACCTCCCTCTAGTTAAGTCTGCGCCCCGTCCCCAGCCAGGCCCCTCGCTTCCCAGACCTTTTGGTGGAGTGAGTGGAGGGCGAGGAGCCCTGCACTTATGGCTCCAACTGCTCCCCGCCCCATCCTGCCACCTCGCTCGCCCATTAAAGCTCTCTCCACCGCCTGGGGCTCACGTTTACTCTCACTCGCCGAAGCCACGACTTTCTCTCCTTCACCGAGTCAATGGGCCTGGGCGGACGTGGGAGGGGCAGGCTTGGGAGCGCAGAGCTGCACTGGTCTCCACCACGGGTCCCTGCACTTCGGACCCTGCTGACAAGACTCCCAGCGCCTTTACACCCCGCGGAAACGGAGCCCAAGCCACACTTAACATTCCCAGCCCCAGAGAATTATCCAGAAGCTGCTTTTCTTCAGGGATTTAATACCAAGGCCCCAGCGAAACTCAGACCAAGTCTCTCCCGACAGTCATTCATCCTTCTTCGCCTTAACCCGAGCTCTGCAGGTGAGCAGGGAGGAGGCTGGCTGGCGCTGCTTGCTACACAGGGCCGTGCCACCAGCTTAATAAGTGACATAAAATGTCTACACGCATAAGTAACTGTACTTAAGGCTTCTGCAAGGGTCACCAGAATGTCAAAGTRGCCGGTGGGCCCTGTGTCACGCTCCGCGCTGCAGGCGGCTGCGGAGGTCCTCGGCGCAGCCATCCAGCCCCATGCGCTCTAGGGCCGCGAAGACTGCGCCCAGACCCGCGGGCTGCTGCTGGCGCCAGCGCTTGAGCATCTCATACTGCTGGTCCCGGAAGCGGCCAATTTCTACCTCCACCGCCTCAATCTCTGCCTCACGCAGGCCCAGAGTGCGCACAAACTCCTTCCAGCGCCGCGCTGGGACAGCGTCCATCACGTCATATAGTTGCGGGCCAGGCTGGAGCACTGCAGCCGGCGAGCCTGCAGAGGGTGCTGGCGAGAGCGGGGGTGCCAGAGGAGGGCCTGGGATGGAGCCAGAGAGAGCCAATGTGGAATAAAGGCTGTGGCCACGATGGGATCAGGTGCTTTCRGGCCTCTGCAGGAGGCTTGCTGGATCTCCCCCACCCATCCCAGTCAGGGAACTGGAAGAGGTCAGTCAAGTCGTGAAACCCTAAATTCCCATCTTAGACTTAAGAAAATGGACTCAAGCCTAAGGCCACTGAGGTCTCTTACCAAGATCTCTGCTGGGCAGCTGGTCCCAGGACTGTSGCACCTGCTGGCAGGGCACTTCCTGGATCTGAGGGCAGTCAGGGGTCCAGCTGTTGTCTACCAACTGGACGGTGCAGACCTTCCCACTGCTGCCAGGGGGCACCAGAAGGGTGTGGGCACTTTCAGAGGCTGAGAGTTGGGTGGCCTGGAAACCAAGAGAGAACCTACGTCAGTCCTGTCTGCCTGGAAATGCCCCATTACTGCAGTCTCTAGCCAGTAGTGGACATTCCTTGCCATAAGCAATGCTGCTTGCCCCAGAGCCTCTGACCTCTTGGTATGGCCCAGCAGAAGAGCTATTACCTCTGCCTGGAATACCCTGCCCTGCTGCCATCTTCTTGTTCCCCCAACTCCTTGCCCAGGTGTACTCCTCCAGACCCAGTAGATAGCCACTTGAGGGCCTCACCCACTGAAAACAGCTCTCAGCACTTTTTCTTTGTGTGTGTGTGTGTGTGTATGTGTGTGTGTGTGGTATCAAGGATTGAACCCAAGGACGCTTAGCCACTGAGCCACATCCCCAGCCCTTTTTATATTTTATTTAGACACAGGGTCACTAAGTTGCTTAGGGCCTAAGTTGCTAGACTGGCTTTGAACTTGTGATCCTCCTGCCTCAGCCTCCCTAGCCACTGGGATTAYAGGCGTGTGCCACTGTGCCCCACTCCCTCAGCATATTTGCCTATTAGTTCCATCTTGTGCTGGATGCTGTGCCCCTGATGCCTAATGCCAGAGATCAGGACATATCCTCCCAGTTCCAGAAAGCAAACTTCTTCCCAGTGTATACTGGGATGTGAAGCTTACCTGCAGTGGGGTCGGGGCCTCAGTCCCAGCTTTTTCTGCYGACAGAGATACAGAAGATCTGGTCAGCAATCAGACAAGGTCCCTGGACCTGGGTGCTGGTCCAGCTCCTCTTGAGTTCCTCCCCTCCCCGTACATATTCCCTGCCTTAGTTTCTCTACAGGGTTGAGTTGCCTCGAGAACAACCATCCTGACCCCAGGCCCCTGGAAATTGTATTTGGGTGTGTGTGCTTTGTATGTGTGGACTTACCAGGAACCACTGGTTTGTGAGGCTGGCAGCGGTGGTAAGTATAGATCAGGGTGCCCCCAAGCAGGAACAGGACCACCAGGCCAGCCACAAGCACCTGTGCCCAGAACACTGAAAGAACAGCTGGTGGGTGCTGGGTGGTAGCCCCTTCCCAGCCACCCCTTGGCCCATCCCAGTTCTCCCACTTGCATACTCTGCCTCCAGCCACAAACAGCAGCACAGGGCTCAGGACAGCTCCCCAGGATGCTGCTCCTGTAAAGAGGGACTAGATGAGGAGGTACACACCAGCAGGGGCTACCAGGAGTGCCCTACAGCTTCCCAACCTGGAGACCTTGCCTTCCCCAGCTTCTCTCCTGTGAGCCTCACTCTGCTCGAGAATTTCCCCAAAGTACTGCTGAAATGTCACTTGTGTCCTTAAAGCAATAACAATCACTACTGTTTTTTAAAACTCTAGACTAGATTAAGGGTCACTAGAATGTCAATTGCATAAGAACAGGGATTTTTGCCTCTTTGGTTCCCTGTGTAGTCCTGACACCTAGAATAATATCTGGGAACTAATAGATGCTCARTAAAAAGACTCGCTGGATAAATGAAGGTGGCTTTCCCCTGATCACAGCCCTGAGAAGAATCTACTGGCACCCCCTGATTAGATGGAAAACCTCAGATCAAAGAGGCTATTTCTGTGAATTTGCCCAAGAACTAGCAGCAAATCCTGAATTAAAGCCCAAGTTTTTGTTTTTGGGTACCAGGGATTGAACTCAGGGGCATTCAACCACTGGGCCTAGACCAGTTTTGTATTTTATTAGAGACAGGGTCTCACTGAGTTGCTTAGCACCTTGCTAAATTGCTGAGGCTGGCTTTGAACTCGAAATCCTTCTGCCTCCATCTCCCRAGCTGAACAGATCCATTCTTAATACTTGAATGGAAGAATTACTAAGAAAAATTCTGGCAGAAAGTGAAGTTGTACCCCCTTATTTACCTGGCATAAGGTGAACTTAGACTCATGTACTGTCCTGTTTGTCTAAAGTGGGAGCCAAGCTCCCCCCTCCCTGTCCCTTCCTATCTCTAAACTAGCAGCACCTGTCCCCAAAAGTCTCCACCCCACTACCAGTCTCCCTCCCCTCTGGCTCAGGACAGCTAGGAAGTTACGTGGGGCAGGACACGCAGTCATTGCCATATTCATAGAAGCCAGGCAGGCAGGGCCCACAGTCAGCGTCTCTGCTGGAACCTGCAGTCCAAGAGATGGCATGGGTCAGCATGGGAGAGGAGGGGGCTAGAAGAAGGGGACATGAGGAAGAGAGCCCAGGAGGGGTACTCACAGGGCAGCTCTGTGTACAGGGCCTCACAGTCTGGGCAGTGGCGGCAGARGAAGGGTGAATTTTCCCTACAAGGCTTGACGGAGCAGTCAATCAGCCAGCCAGGCTCACAGCCGCAGCGGGTGTCTGCCACTGCTGAACAGTTCTCCAAGGCCACCTGGAAGGCTGGCAGAGTGTAGGGAGATAGTGCAGGGATGGTCAGGGGCTCCTACAGAGAAGCCAGAGACCCCCAGAAAAAAGACAGGGCTAGGCCAAAGAGAAGGRTGTGGGCTATCCCCAAAGGGAGAGAATTTTGCCCAACACAGCAGAACAGAGGCCAAAGCACATGGAGACAAGGTGACCAGGAAAAGAAAGGAGCAGAGGCATCCTGAGGGGGGATCAGGTTGGAGGGGTGTGGGGAGGGTGGGCACAGGGTCCTCACACCCAAAGGTTGGGTCCAAGCCAGCCACTTCCTTCAAAGACTACCCCCCACACACTGAGCACCAGACACCCCTCACCCTCCTCATCACAGGCCTGGCAGCGGGTACACTGATCCTTAAAGTGGTTATCCCTGGCCAAGAAGGTGCCCTGGGGACAGGGAAGGCAGGTGGAGTTCCCACAGGACTCTGTGCAGGGGGCCTTCATGTAGTGCCCTGTGGGACCCAGAGAGGGGTCAGTCAAGGCACCGTCAGCACCTCCCAGCTTGCTCCAGTCCCTCCCTCCCTCCCTGCTGTCTCCCTACTTCCCTCCCAGCCCACCCCCAGCTGCGGCCCAGCCCCCCACCTCATCCCAACCCCGCCAGACCCTCACCTGCCCCCAGAATACCCTCCTTTCCACTGCTGCCACTTACCCACAGGACAGCCCCTGCAACAGAGGGGACCATTCCTCTTCTGGAAGTCACCTGTGCAGTCACACCTGGGGCCAGGAAAGCTGCCCTGGACACCCAGCAGCAGCAGGAGGACAGCCTGGAGGATACGTGCTACTGACCCCCGTGTGGCTGCACCATGAGGGGGCCCCTCCTTGCCCAGACTCCTCCATGTCAGAGGTCCCAGCATCTGCCCTCGGAGCGGCCCACCTCTCAGGCGCCTGGGCAGAAGGGGTGCCCATGGGTGGCGGTGGGACCAGCTTCCTTCCCCCCCCCTCCGGTGCAGGGCCAAGTTCGGGAAGGACAAGCCCGGGCCCTGCCTCACACCCTTCCCTCCACCAGGGCGGGAAGAGGCCGCCCCACCGGTGCTGAGGGTCGCCCGCGGGCCCCCAGACCCCTGCCGCCCCGGGCGCGGTGCTTCCTCCCAGCGGAAGGGCCCCGCCCCGCCCCGCCCCGCCSGAGCGGCTAACTAGGTCAGAGAGGGGCCGACGGCGCGGCCCCGCGCTCGAGGCGCCGGGGCTGGAGGGAGGCTCTCGGCTGACCCGGCCTGGCGTCCCCACTCACCGCAGCCACGGCTGCCGCGCAGCCCCCGGGCCGCGGCTCCATGGCGGTCGCGCCGCGCTCGGCCCTCCGACGGGCGTGCGCGCCCAGGGGCTTCCCCGCTCCGCCCGCG